CGTCGGTGACTCGAACGTCAGGCGTCTTGAGGGAGCGATGGAAAAGGACGAAAGGGCCACCCTTTCTATTTGTTTGAATGCCAGGAGGGTGTCATAACTTCCAAGTGATAGGAATTCTACCATGTCTCTAAATACTGTACAGTGCTAAAGGTTAGGGAGAATGGCATGGATTACAATTTCCTTCTAACATTCTTCCACAATCTAATGACTTTTGAAGCCTTTGATCCCTTCCCCTATTGCTGCTGAAGTAATCAGTTCCACTCATCTAGTCCCATAAAAAATAGTAGAGGAAAGGGCACTTCCCATGGAGACTAATCTAAGTCCAAGTCATGTGCAAGTAGGCTGGAGCAGTATTGGATAAGCTTTCCCTTCCCTTAACACTGACTGCAAAGTCCAATTTTCTGTTGGGTGAATTGTCATCCATGAGGCCAAAAGGCTTACTGGCTAAACTGCTTGTCCAACTTTTTCAATCTTAACCCTTTCAGTCCTGGCAGGGCATGGGAGCCCCAATTTTTTTTGTATACTTTCCAAATGAAAATTCGTTTTTACATCATTTAAATGTTAAATTCAGGACTGAAAGGGTTATATTCAACTCCATTTACTTATAGTTATCATAACATTGGCACATCCAGCCACCTGAGCATTAAATCAGAATTCCAAGGAAACAAGACAGACAGAGTATGAATCCAAAAAAAATTTGATATTTTACCTCCTTTCAAAAGCATGCTCCTGGTGGAAAAAGTGTTTCTGCTCTTATCCTTGTCTCCATCTACCCCAAACCTCTTGTGAAAAAAAAAACATTTTCTCTCATATCTCCTCCTTTCCTAGAACCAGAGTTGTCATGGAAAATAATCTCACACAGGGTTGGTCCAATGCCTGTGTTCTCTTATATGATAACTTCTGCCCACTCCCACAGGACCTGCAAAATTGGGTGAATTGCAGCTAGAATAAACTGGAAATAGGAAAAACCCCAGGCATATATTTTTAAATCCCTAGCATTAATTCTTCTAAGAGAAAACAACTAAAACCATTATTTAAATTTTTATTCATCATTTTTAAGTCAAGAAATCATTGCTTTCTAAGAAAAGATCTTTTCACTCAGGGTGGGATTCATTTCACTTCTATTCCACTCCACTTGAGTAGTTAACACAAGGATCACTTTGAAAGTTTCTGGATGCAGCCCTCTTATTTCTCCTCTCAGGCTGAGATGTTTTCAGTAAAGACAATGACAATCAGTACAAGCTAAGGCAAAAACCTCCAGAATTTACTGCTGTCTTGAACTAGTTTTATAATTTCTTAGAGTTTTCATGTTTAGGGATTCCAGATGAATTTGTCATGTGAAAACTTTTGAGCAATGATTTTCTATTACTTCAAAAGTGAACTTAACCCAAAGGGGAGAGTCTTGAATGCTTACAATAGGCCTTTGGAGAGGAAGCACCATCTTATAGTACAGTGTTTGAGTGGTTCACACAGTTTTGAAGGGAAGGGTTTCTTTGAAGAATGCACCTTGCTGCAGCCGGCCACCAATTGCAGTGACAGATGGAAATGTGGCTGTTACATGGATGATGGTTTAAGTGGCCCATCAAATTACATGAGAACATTCAGGCACAACTTGAGGTTGGGTCAGTGAATGAGATCCTGCACTGACATCTTTGTCTTAGGAGGGTCACCAGCTAATGGGTCCCTCATGATCTCACCCCAGTCAAAAGGAGGCCAGGGTGGAATGGTGTCATTTCATGCTACAGTAGTTTGACCCTGAAACAAAGCACCAATCCACTGTCTGGCTCTTCCCTTGTAACCCAACCCCAAGCCACGGTCATATAGACCAGAAGTGTGGGAAGGCAAATGGTGGCTAGTTTCTTCTCTTTCACTGGTCACATAGCCACTGTACCTCTTCAGGGCAAAAAGACTATAACTTCAAAAATGGTACACAGAATCCTGCCTCACAAAAGTGTTTGAATCTCTGAAGATACAGAGACCCAAGTCATCCTTGAAATCATGAATGCTCCATCATGGTAATGTGTCCTGATACACAGCCACCCTCGAATCAGATTTCCTGATGAGTCTGGCATAAGGTTGCACAGAGCAGACCTGACCCCATGTGACTTCTTTTTCTTTCCAAGAGTTAAACCAGACAGTTGAGAGGGAGATAAGGTACCCAAAACTACTTTCCAAATGGCATTCTGTCAGTAATGCAGCAGATATACCTCATTTTGCATCACTCAGGATGAAAAAAAGAAACTTTTGGCTGCAATATATATAGAAATACCTTCTGTGAAGCACTGAAGAAGTGAAGTTTCTGTTCCCATCTATATTATGCAGAGAAAAAATATTTTGTCAACTGGAGTCTCTTAATAACTTTGGTAAAATCATAAAAGAAAATATAATCGATTACACTTTAGATGAATGAATCCAAAACTTCTAACTAGCTTTGATGATATATAATGATAGGACAAACATTAGGGTATTTTACTTAATGAACTCAAAAAATGTTATGATGACTTATGACTTCCAAATGTAATAAAATCTTAGGATAGCCTATGTGTTGCATGATAGACAGTGGTAGTTTTACCTTTCCATAATAGATTGGTCAGGCTAATATTAGATCATTGCTCCCAAGCAAGGCATCCATTCATGCAAATGAATATGAGTAATTGAGCAAGTACAACAGAAAATAACCAGGATTAGAAGGTAACTAAGCTTTCCCATGAGGAAAGACTACAATCTCTTAACCCCAAATAAAAGAGCTAGATCTGATAGTGAATGAGACCTTTGATGTGGATTAGTAAAGATAAGAGCTCCTCTCCAAGTCATCTTTCCGATAATTAAAAACTTTGATAAAAGCTCCTAATCATTATCATCATTTTAGGTTTTCAGACCAGGATTCCTGACCAAGTCAGTTCAAGCTCAAAGTAATTCCCTCTTTGAATCCTCAGCTGGTAGCCTGGTAGCCACTGTCTAGTATTCATTTTAAGTTTGACCAGCACATGCATGGTTTGGCTCACAAGGGTTTAAGCAGTTTTTTTAACTGATAAGTTCAGAAAAAAATCCAAGTTTGGTCACCTTCATGACAGAGAAATCTCAAGGATATTCTCAGGCTTCCTAACTTGACTCCTATGAAAACCCCTGATCCTGGTTTTATTTCCTGCTCCAGTGAGTCCTGTTCTATCCACCCCAACATATAAGAAAATGGCATATCTTCTTAGTCAGAAATTGGTTAATCCTTCCAGATTCTAAAATCCATGACTTACTCCACTGTTCACTAAATGTGATTTATCTAATCACTAGCAAATTTCAATGTGTAGATAAGATTTGGTTCCTTTACAATACTGCCAAGGAACACTGTTAGTATGCGGTATCTATATCTGGTATGCAAGACTGAACTATAATGAACTCACAGGAATTTATTTTAACAGTCCCGGGCACCAATATTCTGATTAAGCATCCTTCTCATAGACAAAGTGAAATTAGATGACCCAAATAGAGGAAACATGAACTCTGGATAAGAATGTTGGAACTGGTCCTGAATTCCCTATTGCCTTCTCTCCCACTCCAATCTCCCCTTCCCTCCCACTCTCACCTTTTGTATGAAAACTAAGAAGCTGGGATCGAGTCACAAATACTCCATTGTCATATTAATCCAGATAGACCCTTAACAAGTCCATGTTTATTCCCATTTGGGAGCAGTTGATTTGATATAAACCTAGAAAGACGAAATGACCTATTTTTCCTCACCATTACATTTTTTGCATGGCTCAGTAGTGCTTTGGAGAAATTATTTGATGTTTGCACATTACCAAAGTATTTTTAGGCCAAACTGGGGCACCACAGGCCTCTGGTGCTTTGAAAATCTATATCTTTACTTCATTGGAGAGTCAAACAGCTCACCTTCAGTGAATTCACTGGTTCCATCCATAGGGTCAACCCAGACAACAACCTGGAACAAAGAAGAAGATTCTTCATGCACAGAAATATTGTTAGAACTCAGGTGTAAATGCAAAAATGAAAATATTATAGTTGAAGAATTTTATTTATTGATTGATTGGAGCTTTGATACATAAATAAAATGATTGCATACATGAGTGAAGCCATCTGTAGGCCAATATACAAAAGTTTGGAACTCATTTTTAAATGCTGTTGGTCAATATTGAACTGGCCCTTTAAACATGGAGTTTCTAAGCACAAAATCCTCACTTCTGAAGGTTGAAGGCATGCCCAATTCTCTGGGCAGTTCAGATCCTGGAAGTGTTGAAGATGGGGACTAGGTGAGACGATCCAATCAGAGGGAATCTCAGTTAGATCCATATTTAGTCCTTCTTCCTCGCCGATGACAGTAAGGTCAGGAAAGCTGTGTTTTAGGGATGCGACAATGCATCGCTGGGAACTCCGGTCTGCTTCTGTCTGCAAGTCATCTTTGGCCTATGATATACATGAACAGGCAAGAGATTTTCTTCAAACAAAAGGAAAGCTATCGGATTCTCTACCAAGAGTCATTGTGAGAAAGTAGCTCACTTTTTCCACGACACCAAAATCACTTTTTCGGCTGACATCTCGAATGATTGACCCAGCCTTGTTGGCTGCTCCAATAGAGCATGCCATGAGACGAAATATGAGAGGACACTGGGACGCGGACATATTGACTGTGAAATTCGAGAGCTCCTCGCAAGAGATTAACCTTCTAGACTCCCCTGATGTTGTTAGACTACCAGATAATGAGTAGAATGACTTTGGAATATCACAGATTCATGGGGGCTGCCATGGAGATCTTTAACGGATGTCGTAAGGTCCAAGATGATCCCTCTCCCAAGGAGTTTGTGGGAAACAATACCATTCAGGTATTCATTGGTTCATTTCGGTGAAACGAATATATAAAAAATGGCTGTAAATAAGGCTAGCACATACGCTTTGATGTTTTGAAAATGTGATACTTTACCCTTCCTCATCAAATTTGGCAACCTTGCCCCTATACCCATTTTAAGGTGCTTTTGTGTCAGACAATTTTCACCTGACTCGGACCCTCGTTCATGAGACGTTCCCAATGGGAAGTCATGTCGAAATCAAGTGGGAAAATGTCTGACTCAAGTGAAAACACAGTAGCAGTGAAGCAATAGTGGCTCAATTTCGATTAACCCCTTCAGTGGGTATGACGTATATATTGATATTTGTCATGGTGAAATGCTCTTTAGAGGGGTTTGGCTTTTTTTTTCTTCCCGTTATATTTCGAGTTTGAGTTAAATATGAATTCTAAACTCGAAATAGGAGCATAAACTCGAGAAAGAGTGGTACATTTCTTACACAAACACAAATTGTTATTCTCATGAAAATAATATCTGATTCCAGTGGTAGACTTCTGTTCGAGAAATTCCCTACCTAAAGGGTTTAAGGAAGCGATTCTCAACCTTTTTTTTTTGCCACGACCCACCAAATCCGATACTCATATTTATACGATCAACGGGCTCTGGAACTGCCATATATAAGCCAATCGTGTGTCTCACAAGCAAACGAGTGAACGAAATACGAGAACGCACGCAATAGGTTGTTTTAAGTAAAGTTCATTTCCTGCTTTTAAAAAACGCACAGCTGTCCAACAAAAGATTTGATGGATGAGGCCGGAGAATTTGCTGACAGAGGAGGTATGGGGATATTTACTAAGTGCTAAGTGAGGCCTCTTCAAATACGGCAAAGGAGGTGGAATGACAGGTCAGGGTTGTCGGGGAGTCCAAGTTCCTTCAAATTCAGGTTACCAGTGTTATAGAGATGAAATACGAGCTTCCCCGAACGTCTCAAGTAAAAAGAAAGCACAAAACGTAGAAGATATGACAACCCTGTCCTTCCACGAATGTCCCTTCCCCTCCTTCCATAAACCACTCAAGCATCCCAGGTGGATTTATGAGAATATAATGGCGTTTCCCCTTTTTTGACCTGTCATCCTGGAGCCGCTACTGCGTTTTTTGAGAGGGAACAAACTATATGCTTCACCTCACTGCTGATGAAAAAACCAGTCCAACGACTGACGAATATTTGAAGGTTGTAGATAGATAGCAATGAAGTTAATTGGAAAAAGTGTGAACTTAAATTTAAATCTGAAATCCCAATGCATAATTAATTTCTGGTGAAATTGTTCGATACCACCTCGGAATAAGTATTATCACTAATTTCGACTGTCTACGATATCAATCGAAAGAATTAATAGAATAAAGGAATCCCTATGTGATGGGAAACCGAAGTGTAGAAGCGGACACCACAAATCGAAATCGAAAGACTGGACTTGGGAGATTCATTTCATAACTTCTCCATGGCTGATCCATGGTCTGATCACTGGCATTGAACTCGAAACGAGATGGTGGCGATGGGACAGCTACTGTATATCTGACAACTGCTAGAGGAGGCTGTTCTTTCGTTTCGAGACAGAATTGACATGGTTCGAGCCTTGATTCTTGGCTTCATGAAACCGCATGAAGGGACAAGGCGTGAGCGTTACATAAGGTATTGAAATTCCAGCTTGAGGTTCATTCACATCGAGTTTCCATCACTAGGCAGGATCAGGAAATTTGATTCCGGGGTTGAGAATCGCATAGCCGGGTCATTCCTTTTTCGTTTGTCGTTTCCGGATGTCTTCTGCTCGCAGGCTGTCCCTTTGCTGCACTATTCATGTTAGCTTATAATCTGGATTCTGAGAATGATACTATTCGGGAAACGTAATCACAAGTACCTTTACATCCAACAGGAAGGATTCTTATGTCTATATTTATATTTATGTTATTTTTGTGGGTTTTTATTTTTTGCTCACTTGGATTATCCTCAAATCATGGATTCTTGGAATACCTAGACACTTGCAATCCTTTCCGCGAGGAATTTCGGGTCACGTAACATCACGAATCCCATCCCCTCGGAATAGCTCTTTCATGATTACACGACTTTTAATTAGGGCAGTCAATTCGATTAATTTAATTGATTGATTAATCGATTAAAATATTATTAATTATACAATTCGACTAATTTCGACTAAATTTTGTAATCGCTATTAATACTTTAATCGATTAATCGAATAGACAGCCTTACTTTTAATCCAAACCTGGACTCTCGAGAAAGCACGCATTTTCTTCAGGTGCAACTTTGGAGGTACACGCAATTTTAATGATCCCCGCATTCATTTGACGCCAAAAGTGAGTTCTCGGTGATATTGTATGACAGTGGACTCAGAAACTCGTGCAATCGCCATCTTCCAATATTTCTCTCTCTCTCTCTTCTTAATGCAAAGGAGTGTCCACTAAACGAATGCTCAGCGGAATCACTTCTTAGAAGGCATCGATCAGTTTTCTTGTCGGATGGCTAGTATTGTCAATTCCTCGATTCGCATCCCCTTTCGAAGATGGCTGCCTTCACTTTCCTTTCCTCCCCATGAGAGAAATACGTCCAATGCAACAGGATATTTCCATTTCCATTTCTTTCATTTGTACCCAATCACCACTGCGCTCAATTGCAAGCAAAAAAGATGGGAACGTCGAGGAAGATGCTGAACGCACCCCTTTCTCTTTCGGCTTCCATTACATGGGCGCCCACCTATCCGGAAAAAAGAGGAAGTCTTCGGGGCAGGACTTCCTAATTTGCAAAATTCGATTCATTATAATGCTTGCCGATTCTAAATTTATTACATTATTGCATCAATATGTATGTTCCTCTTCGCATCTCTCTCTTGTACAGGAGCCATTGTGAACGAGATGGGATGAGATGGGATTGAAAGTGGCATGCGGATATGAACGCCAGACGGAAAGAAACAGTTCGGAAAGGCCAGATAAGCTAGACTTAAGGCCAATTTCCTCTCCCTCGGCAAATCAATCTTCAGCATCCTACGCCAATCAAAATCCTTTGGGGATGCGAGTAAGAGTCATCGCAGGTAGGCCCGAGAATCACAGAAGTTTACTCCTTTGATTGTGAACCAGTGAAAAAAATACGATGTGGTAACTTCATACCTCAACCCACAATAAGATAGAAGAATTTAGAAGGATTTTGGCAACTTAGCATGCATCCTGACACCGACAAAGAAACGACGTGAAATGGCGGGAAAGGTGGCTAGAGTAGAAAAGGGAAAAACGTTTTCCATTCTAAGTACTAGTGGGGTTAAAGTTACCCGACAGGACGGTTTTAAGGTTAATGAAGCCTGAAATAGTAGGTGCAAAATATGTATATGACGGAAACCTGCATATCTCTCCCATTCTCAAAATAGCAATGTGTTTCAGGAAATGGAAGACGGAGTCTCACATTCTTCAATCCCTTCCTGAGTGGGTATCTACCGCAGACTTGATTCTCATCTCGCGGTGGAAAAATGTATAGAAGAAGTAAAGTGAAACCCATTTTTCAAAGGCTTTTCCCCTTTCTTCAAGGGCACTTTTCGTGATCTACGAGTCAATATCTGTCTTTCGATTGGAATACTTTCTCCGAAAACACTCCCAGGAAAAGCTGCAGGAGGGGGAGAAAAAAAAATCTGGAATGATATTCACATCTTCAAAAAACAAGAATCACAGTTCTCCGCACCTCCGGGGAATTGAAGCTTCAATTTTTCTGGCGCGATTCTGTGTTGAGAGTGGAAGAAGCGTGCCCAATTAAGTTCCTCTAGATTTTCTCTGAGAGGAATACGAGGAGGTTGAATTTTATGACCGGAAGGGGTTGAAGAAAGGGAATAGGGGCTGCAAAAGTCTATTAATGAGGGATGCTCCATTAAGGAAGTTTCATGTATATAGAATGATGTTCACATCATTTTAAACTGCACAGACTGGCACATTCATGATTACGACGAGCCAAGACTGAAGCGTTGGGAGCGAAGAAAGGTTTTTAATGCTTTTTTAATGTTCTTCTTTTCTCAGAAATGTAACAGGAGAGTCGACGGGGAGGAACGAGGAAACTGTGCGATATTGATTTCCCAATAGTGATACTGCGAGGAGATGGCGGAGAGAAGACCATGTGTTGCACCCACGTGACGTCACCTAGTCAGGTATAGAAGGGAGGGTGGGGAGGGGGGCAAGGTAACTGCTACTCAGTGCAATAAGGGACCTGGTGTTTATGCTTCCATTATGAGTTAATATAATATTTATATTTATTCCGTCACTCGTGCAGGTTTATGGCCAGTCAAGTCAAGTCTGTCTAGGGATATTAAAATGTTATGCACAGGGTGAAGGTGAAGGGGGAGGAAGAAGGGTGGTGAGTGGAGAGGCAAGTGCCACACGTCACTTCGCTAGGCATTATAACGCTCACGCCTAGGTCAGAGATTCTCAAACTTTTTGGGTCCATTTCACGTAGACTAATAACAGCGAATCCGAATATTAACGTCGTCGAAAATTTGGAGAGAAGTCGAGCACATGATCTAACAGCAGTTTTAAAACTATGGGGCACGCCTACCAGGTGGGCAGAGAACGCATGAGTAAAATTTCTTCTAAAAGAACGAAACAATCATGCGGAAGAAGAACGCTGAGTACTGGACCAAACAAACAAAAAAGTGCAGAAAACGACCTTAGCTTTCCGCGTATTGGTTTTACTCACACTGGCTCAGGCTTCCGTCCGAAACCTGAAATGCCTAGCCTGAAATTTCGGACCGTATTACATTTTATTTGTAGAACAGTGCATGCATGCAAAAATGCAGAAACGATAGGTTGAATCCATACAAGCTTAATCAAGATTTAGAAAGCAAGCACCAATTTCTGCAAGAGAGCAACTTGTAGACGACTGCGACTGAGTTGAAAATTTGTAGGGTAAGATACCCCAGTGATGGATCACTTACCAATG